TTTCTTTTGACTTGTTTTCTAGATATCCAAAGCCGAAGTTCGTTTCTTTAGCTAAAATAATTGTTGCTGCCACCCGTGACTAACTGTCCTCATGTTCTATCTTAACTGTCCTTTATGATGTTATCGGCTAAATGAAAGGAAACAGTCTCCGGTATTTAATTTTATTATTCCTCCTACATCGACTTTCAACTTTAAATTTCCTCTCTCGGCTTCCTCCTCAAGTGTCACCATAGCCAACGATTCTAGTGCTCAAAACTCTGTCCCAGGTCTACTGAAACCTCGCTCCAAACTACACATTGGAGCCTTCAACGTACGAACCCTATGTCAAATCGGTCAGCAGGCTTCCTTGGCTAAAACCCTAGAGTCTCTTACCATTGACGTGTGCTGTGTCTCCGAAACACGCATACAGGATTCCAGTGTGGTCATTCACCTGACCTCACCTCGGCAAAACGGAGAGCCAACGAGGTACACCCTTCGTGTATCTGGTGACCCGATGGCAAGTTCTCGTGGACTGGCAGGTGTAGGCATAGCACTAAGCATGAGGGCGGAACAAGCACTGCTAGAGTGGATCCCCGTCAACAGTCGTCTATGTGCTGTTCGGCTGAACGGCTACGTAAGAACTCGGAAGGATAGGGACACACGTCGTTGCCTTTTTGTTGTTTCTGCCTACGCTCCCACTGACTGCAGCTCAGATGATGTGAAAGATGAATTTTACAGAAAGCTGTCCGAACTTCTTCAGAAAGCTAAACGCTCAGACATAGTACTCGTAGCAGGTGATTTTAATGCTCAGATAGGCAGTTTAAACCAAACAGAAAGGCATTTAGGTGGATATTTTAGTATTCCGACACAGCGAACAGATAATGGTGATCGTCTGCTGCAACTATGCTCAGACAATCGGTTATTTTTAGCAAACACAAATTTTAAGCATAAAGAGAGACATCGTCTAACATGGCGACCCCCTACACCAAACCAACGATGGACTCAAATAGACCATATTGCCATCAGTCATCGTTGGAGAGGGTCGGTAGAAGATTGTCGCTCATTCTGGAGTACCTGCTTGGACTCCGACCATGCCCTAATACGGGCACGCATCTGCTTGCGCCTCACTGGACGCAAAAAAGCCACATTAAAAAGACCCGTTAGAACTGATTTGAGTAACGAGAAAACCAAAAGTAGGTTCCAGGAACAACTGAGGTCACACTTAGGTAGTTGTGAAGACGAGGCTGACCCAGATGTTGCTTGGAAGGGCATACAATCAGCTGTGGAAACAGCAGTGACATCTATTAGTGACTTAAACCACAGAGTTGCAAGGAACCAGTGGATTTCTTCAAGGTCTGTCACACTGATGGATTCTCGCAAACTCGTCCCATCAGGTCCTGAACATAATGAAGAGCGAAAACAAATCAGATCAAGGTTAAGAAAAAGTCTAAAGAACGACCGTGAGCAGTGGTGGGTAACGAAAGCAAAAGAGATGGAAAAGGCGGCGACTATAGGGAACACAAGACAGCTTTACAGACTAATAAAAGAAACTGGAATTAGTAAGTCAAGTGTAAGTGAGATTATTTCGGAAAAAGATGATACTCTCATCTGCTCCCAGTCCAGACGTTTAGAACGATGGGCGGAACATTTTAGAGAACAATTCAGCTGGCCTTCAGCTACTCTACAACTACCCTCCATTCCCAGACAGTGTGAATGGAACATTGAAATAGGTCCCCCTACTCTTGCTGAAGTTCAAAAGGCTATAGTTAATCTGAAACGAGGAAGGGCAGCTGGTTCAGATGGATTGGCTCCAGAGGTCTTTAAGGATGGTGGTCCAATTTTAGCGATTAAGTTGACTAATATTTTAGCTAAGATCTGGGAATTAGACTTTATCCCATCTGACTGGTCGCAATCACTTATCGTCCCAATATATAAGAAAGGGTCAAAATCATCCTGTGACAACCACAGAGGGATTAGTTTAACAAACATAGTTTCTAAAATACTGGCCTCGATAATTATCAAACGCCTAACTAAGACTCGTGAACTACAAACTCGAGAGAACCAAGCTGGCTTTAGACCTGGTCGTGGCTGCATCGACCACATATTCACCATTCGTCAGGTTCTAGAACACAGGCATACCTATCGGCGTCCGACGATGGTGGTCTTTCTTGACTTAAAAGCAGCATTTGACTCGGTAGACCGCGAGACTCTGTGGCAGTGTCTGTCATTGAAAGGCGTACCTCAGAAGTACATAAACCTTGTGAAGGCTCTTTACTCGAACACTACTAGTCGAGTCAGGGCTTATGGCGAACTGTCATCTACTTTTGCAACCTCAAGTGGTGTCCGTCAAGGCTGTCCACTTTCTCCATTTTTGTTTAACTTCATCATAGACCTATTGATGGAAATAACACTCTCGTCGACTGAATTCTCGGGTATTGATCTCCTTCCAGGAGGTCCACTTATCGACTTAGAATACGCAGATGACCTAGTCCTGTTTGGTGAAGACGCTGATAGAATGCAGAGTCTTCTGGTAGCACCAAGCAACAATGCCAGAATGTTTGGGATGCGCTTCTCTCCCTCTAAATGCAAGTTGTTGCTTCAGGACTGGTCTGCGTCAACACCTGAACTAAGGATAGGGAGTGAAGTAGTCGAACGCGTTGATAACTTCACTTATCTTGGAAGTCTGATCAGCCCTAATGGGTTGGTATCGGACGAAATCTCAGCACGGATTCAGAAAGCTCGCTTGGCTTTTGCCAACTTGCGTCACCTTTGGCGAAGGCGAGATATCCGTCTATCAATAAAAGGACGAGTATACTGTGCGGCAGTTCGTCCTGTTTTAATTTACGGCAGCGAAACATGGCCCTTAAGAGTAGAAGACACCCGTAAGCTACTAGTATTTGACCACAGATGCCTTAGAAATATTGCTGGCATCTGCTGGGATCACCGGGTAAGTAATAGTGAGGTTAGACGCAGGGTATTAGGGAATGATGGTAAATCAGTTGATGAGGTTATGAATCTTCATCGACTGAGATGGTTGGGCCACGTATTACGTATGCCTGAACACCGATTACCACGACGTGCAATGCTAACCGGGGTAGGGGATGGTTGGAAGAAAGTTAGGGGCGGCCAAACCAAAACGTGGCATCAGTGCCTGAAGTCACTAACTTCTAGTCTGAGCCACGTTGGTAGATGCAGACTACTTGGTTGGGGTCCGCGTGACTTTCGTAACCAATGGTTGGAGACTCTTGATGACATGGCTCAGAATCGATCACAGTGGCGTCGGTGTATACACTCCCTGTCTTCCCTTAAACTAAGAGACTAAAATCACTTCATTCTTTCTGTCTACGAACTAATTCTTTCTTCCTATACTATATCCTTATTGCAACCTTTGACCTAACCACTCCTATGAATCCGGTGTTCATCTTGCTGTGCTAATGAGGTATGGCAACCTGGACCGATGCACATTTGTGCCTGTTCCTACGTTGTAGCTGACTGACTGACTGACCTTCATATTCGAATCATTTTTGGACAACTGTCTTACAGTCTGAGTGCTTCGTACGCCCCAAGAAACTCTATTTCTACAACATTCGTAGTTCCAGTATAACTTTCTCACGCAGTAAGTTCAAATTAGACACTAGTCTTTCTAAATAACCCTGTTAAGCTAATATCCGTATTCTCTATTTCAGTTAATCGATGAAGACATGTACCACGTGCATCTGCTGTATACTGGCATTTTACTCCAATTCTAGCTGTTATATCTTACTTTTGAATAATAAAATTGCTATATGCTGCAAATACAGACTTATTTGTTTTGATGGAGGTAGGGGGGTTCATGGGATTTTCAGCAGGACCGTATTAATATTCTCAGTAAAGAGCTAAGCGAGTGCGTAAACCAGTGTAAGGTACCATACGGGGTGCATTTGAGTTACTAGTGTTGCATTAGTGCGGGTAGGGGCATAGCTTGCTTGTCATATGGTATTTGGATTAGAAGCTATAAGATAAGAAGCAGGTACGGTTAGGATGTTTAACGCGTGTCCATCCATCAGCTGGCGTGACAACCCGTGGTGGTTAGAATAAGTTATGAGAGGAACCGAGTCTGAAGGTTTCCCAAGGAAATGACGAAGATATGTACTAAATCGCTTAAATTTACCACATATGAATTAGGTGCTGCAAGGCTCGTATATCGCAAGTTTCTTGCGACGATTAAGGAGGTAAAACAAAGTAGCATTAGATTTAAAAATTTATTCAGGAACTGTCACCAAGAATCGAATATTAAACAAATGTTTAAACGAAGTTCTCGTCTAAAAGTTGCATTGGTAATGTTAAGCTGCAGTCTTTGTTGTTTTTTGCAAAACGAAAGGGTAAAAGAAGTAATTCAAAAAGTACTGGAAGTTGTTGTGGGACTAAAATGGACGTCCAGCGTATTTTTATAATCTGCCGTTAGTTGGGTTTTCCGTAAAGTTTCATAGGGCCATAGTTCTAGTGGCGAAACAGTTCTTAGGATCTGTGAAGGCTCACTCCTGATGCATTCTAAATGAAAAAATAGTAATGAATTTAGTCAGAAATGTGGAATAGATAAATAACCAAATTACATGTTTTTTAGCAAAGAATTTATGCAGTTGTGATTTACCTTGAGTTCATGAGTATTAGATCAGGTCAGCTACTATTACTTGTGCAAAGCATATTATGGACTTAGTACCGTATCGCAATACTTTTATTATTTTGCTCTCATTTAAGTATGCCCATGCATCGGCGTCTAGTTTAACAGGAAGACATACAAGAAGAGTTAGTGCCTGATAAACGAAAAGTCCCAGTTGTCAAAAAGAGTCTTAACATTTATCCCAGCGTGCAATGAACGTACAGTGTAACGCAGTCGTATGTGGCGAACAAAAATTAAAAAATGAGCAATATTAACGACATAATCTAGTTATTTAATTAAAAATACATTATGAAATGACAAAATCTGTGGTTACTTGAATGCACAGATGACCCTAGGCGATACATTAAGTTTACAAGGTTGCGTTGAGGGTAAATTCACCCGCCTAAACTCATGACCGGTCCCAGTCTCTTTGACGATATAGGATACTGAAATTTAATGAGCGCGTTACGGCATTGACGACACTATTGTGTGTTTTTGTATGTATTTATTTATTACCATTGAGTTTTGTTTTGCTTTGTCACACACAATAGTTAGAGGGAATAACAATAAACAGAGGTCGCAACGGTTACGGACAGATTGAGGACTATGGGCAATTCCTACGGCCTATGTTATTGCTTTTCTAGTATGCTTCTATGAGTGTCCTGTCTTTTCTTGAATGTGCAAACACCGCTTCACCGGTAAACAGCTTCCAAGAATTGATGACTCAGTGTAAAAACATGTATGTGACGGGTATTTTGTTCGTTCTTGGCTTCCCTACCCTCCTGCAATGTTCTCTAAGATGTCCCGGTCTAGTGAAAATAAAGAGTATACTGGGTCCAAAATTATTTTTAGTATTCTACACACCAAAATTAGATCATATTTTAGTCTGAGACACGACAGAGCAAAGAGGTCTAGCTTTTCAAGCCTTTCTTTGTATAGTAAGTCCCGGAGTTCTGGAATTGCACGGGTAGCTACCCTCTGTACTTTTACCAAGATATCCGAGTCATCTTTTAAACAGAAGCTTGCAGCCTTGACACAGTTCTCAAGCTTAGTCCTCACTAAGGTTGTGTATACTGTAGTGAACATGGTCGTAGCTAAATTAGTGAATGTCCGTATTAAGACCCAGAGGATTCTAAACCCCTTAGCTGCGACCTCCGGCAATGGGCATTGGTCTTAAGATTATGACTCACTCTCACCCCAAGATCCTTATGAGATGGAACGACGGGTACAGGCACTTCCCTATGCCGTACGTATTAGGCTCTGCATCTCAAAAGTGTATGTAGACACACTTTTCCGCATTGATAGGCGTCAGCCACTCTCCAGACCAGTTAGTCATATTATTTAAGTCTGCCCTAAGTGCGCTTGCATCTGCGTCTCCCGTTGCTTCTCGCCAGACTTTTACATCGTCAGCGTATAATAACATTGGGGACTGTACTATACTTAAAAGATCATTTAAATACGGTATAAAAAGTAAAGGAACTGGGACAGAACTTTGAGTTACTCCACCAAGTACTGGTCTCCAGGTAGAGAACTTGGGATTTATTCTTACTTTCTATCTGCGACCTACTAGGAAATCCTCAAGCCATTATAAGAGAGGTCAGGCAATACCAAGATTAAATGTTACAGTTAGAAAGGGTCAGAAAATGGTTTGAGACTTAACATCCTTTCCATCTCCAAAACAGACTGGATGACGCTACTGGAAGTCTTAAAGCAAACCTTCATCATGTGGATAATGATTGTTTGCATCAAATGACATTCTAGGATCAATTAGCTAGTAGTGCCCATCGGTCAACTCACTTAAAAATACACCTAAACACCTTTCGGAGGGTTTTTAATCGCTTCACAACAAAACACAAAAATGTAGTGCACCAACAATATATAGTATCGTTAGTTTGGTCATTCTTTCCACGTGTTGGTTACCAGTGTATTTATGTCAAGATTTTGTGGGCAGAAATAGTGAACTGTGTTTTCTTGGGATTAGTGTCTGGGTATTAAGAGAGTGGTCGTAGTTACCAATAAAAGTAAGGTCATCAAGGTATGTGGCATAAATAGTTGCCTACACCCAATAGTTTACTGACCTAAGCAGGTTGTAACGCGCATCAAAGTATCTTAGATCTACGTATGCATTACCATACGTCTTGTAACTTAGCGCTAATTGTAGTATGAGAACCTGGAAATTAGTTGTCACCTTAAATAGTTACATGAATTTCTGTTCCTCAGGAATGAGTACTGATCACCAAAAGATATATCGAAAATGCATTTTGCAGCGCTACGGTGGTGTATAAACAGATCAACAGAAAGAACTGTTGAGTTTTCAAATGGTAAATAAACCGTATTCCATAGGCTGACTATGCAGTAGTAGCATACAACAAAGCTGAAGCAGACCCGCACTCTCGTTATATTAACTTAACCATTGACAGTACAGATTGTTTTCCCTGCGGTACAAAAGTAAGCTTAACATTTAGCCAGTTTTCTCTGGATGAACTGAACAGTTGCTGATGAATAAATTATCCGTTTCTAGAGTGACTCATTTTGCTTGTCAAAACGAGCAATCTATTTTATACGAAATTTTTTGTTCTTAAATGCAACTTTAATATTATGGTTGTTTCTTATGCTTTTTCGTATTAAAGGAACAGTACTTTGTGAAAGAAAACTCCCAGTATTTTAGCATCGCACAAGTAATAATTGATGACTCGTAACAGTATATTGCATGAAGTGATGCTTTTTTTGTTTGACCTTGTTTGGCGTGTGAGAACACATTTGATATTTCATTCGTATGAAGCATTTTTCCTCCTAAGAATTAATCGGAATTGACAAAAAAACATGTAAGATATATATGTATGAATATATAAAGCATCAGATTGCGAAATGTACATAGAAAACATAAGCTTTAAGAAAAATATATTGTACACATAGTTATCTTTTTACTCTTGTTTATTATCAGCTAAATATTTATGAGGACTTATTTAAAAAAGATTGAACGTATTCAGTTAATTGAATACATTTTATAAATTTAGAATTGTTTGACGTGGATAGTACAAGAGATGGTGTAGATTTTTGAAGTGGCAACTCAAGCGGGTTAAAATATTTTAGCTCGTCGTCATTTCCAGGCAACGCTTTGTAGATATTAGTGAAGTAGTGTGGTAATTGTTTTGTTGTTAATTCAGATGTTGGTTTAGTTTCTGTTTTACCGGGCGAGTGTTTCTTGCCACCAGGCTTTTCTAAAGGTGAATCTAAGCTCTGAATGCTTGATGCCGATATTCTGCGTTTGTTTGAAAATTTCAGTTCAGACACATAACCAACAAGTTTATTGGTAGTAGAATTGGCATCACTAATTGGGATTATGTTGTCTGTCGTTAAAGACTTCTGGCCATCTCCGTCTACTTGATTAACTGCTCTTAACCAACGCATTGGACTTACAAACGTCAAACGCTTCAGAAGTTGTACAATGGGACTGACAACAACAGATTTGTCTAATAAGTCTCTTTCACCGGACATTTCCCTATAGAGAAAAGAGAAAACACATTCTGTTAAACCTGGTGAATTTCAACATCCATATTACAGGCTATTTTCATTCGCATGAAAGCATAGGTATTATCTCGTTCTTTTAGTGAACAGTGTTGTCCATCTAAGTCTTGTTCAAAAAATACTAAACAATCCCAGTATGACTCAATCTGCTGATAATCACTGGATGGCTGGTCGCAAAACGCCAGCCAGTAAGTTAGTGACATGTCATATTTGTAAACGGTCACTACCTAATAGATAATTAATGAAATTTTTCCAGGCACTTAGACCAAACTGGGTAAAGTGAAGTTTGAATACGAAACCTAATAGTTTAAATTTAAGTGTCCTAATCACTAATCTATTGCTCTTCAGGATACATTGTTATCTTACTTGGTATTCGTTGGTAGGTGTTTCCGGTAACACGAATCTAAGGCCTATCACATTTATCACAAGAGCTATCAATTTATAACGGTTACATACTACGAAGCAAACACTCAGTTTTGACTAGGATTTTTCTGTTTTTCGCTTAGGAATCTTTCAGTCTCCGTAAATTAATATGCAACCGAATATCCACCGACTCGATGTTTTCATCTATCACTTGTTTAATATTAGTGAAAACCATATAAGTTCAAAGAATAAACTTACTCATGAGAATGAACATTTGAGTTTGTTTGCTCTGAGCTATTTTCCAAACTATCATTTAATCCATGAATACAACCTTTATCTTGACGATAAGATAGCCAACGTTGAGGGTTAGATGACGCAAATAATTCTCTGTTAATTGTTGAGTTGCTTTTAGGAACTAATTTTCCACGGATAATAGGTGTTGCAGGAGCGAATACATCGTTATTGTTATCATTGAAAAGTGAAAATGTTGAAGAGAGCGTACAGCCGGTCTGACTGACATCTTGCAAAACATTTGCTAGAGTACTACCTTCAATATTACTGTTGTCTAAGCAATCCCCATTACTGGTAGTTTCTTTTAATGGATGATCAATGTTCAGTGATGAACAATTAGACAGATAATCTTCTAAAGCTAGCAAACCATCTTCAGAGCTTAAGTCAATGTAATCATCCAAAAATTCCCAATATTCATACCAACTTGTCCCGAAAACACGTGATAAATACCTGGAGTAAAAAGTGTATTTACTAAGAATTTTTGGATACATAGGATATGTACATCAAAAAACACGTCTATTTAATAGGCTTTAAATTGCACTTTTCACGTGTAGGCTGATTCCACTACTCGACTTCACAAAGTTAAGCATGTCGAGAGTCGAATGCTTTTCAAAGTACTCCTATTGAGAATCGTATGTGTCGAGTTGTTTGGTGGTTTAAAGTATACGAGGTCACTACAGTCGTCTATAATTCCTAAAATAAACCATTGCCAGAACTAGAAGTCAGATTAATATCCATTCAGACGTATAAACAAAGTTGGTTTCTTTTATAAGGCGTTCTATGAGTTCTCATAAACAAACCAACTTACCGTCCTTGGCGTTCATATCCTTTTTCCGAATCAATTAGACGAAGATGTGAAAAAGATTTGTAGTCAACAGCATTTGGTGCATTGTATTGAAGCCATTTTTTTCGAAATTCAACAGCCTATAACAACATGAAAATTGGGACGGATTAGGCATCATATATAGTTTCCTATTTTGGGAAGTTTTACAAGTTGATGTTAAACATTTAACAAATAATTAGATGAAATTCGACTCGTATAGACTAAATCACTTTTTTAGGTCGCATTACTTCCATCAAAAAGACTAGGTTGAATGACATGTAACAAAGTGATTAGTTCCGGCCCTTATGCTTGAATTCGAGTCACATAAATCCATTCACAACTAGAAGTATCAGTTAAGGGCTCTGACATCAGTTCGGTTAAAATTGGATCTGTGGTTAAAAAGTTGGTAATCTGACTGCAGAACTGGGTTGACCAGGTTTGGATCTGATGGGAAGTATTAGTTTCTTCAGGTTGGCAGATACACCCTACCGATGAAAACCAAGCACTTGTTCTAGGTCCACGGATTGTTGCTGACTGTCGTTAGCTATTTAAAACAAAACGAATTACAGCACTACGCGGATTTAACATAATCGATGAAATATGACACCGTTATATTGTTCTATTTGTGTGTTTTGATTAGTTGGGGTAAAAAACGCATGAGAATCAAATGAATGTTTGTAAATCGAGAAGCATTTTCATGAATTAGATTAAATCTCAAATAATTCTTACGACTAAGAAATATCAACTAATAGAATATGAATAAGGGCTCTCTACATTGCAGTCCACAGGTTTGAATAGTCGACTTTTTACCCCATTTTATTAAATTTGGTGTACAGTAATTGGAACTTTCAAATACTTTAAACTGTACTGAGTTATACTCTATTTTCTTTTGAGCACACAGTTATCTCTATCTACAATTAAGTTTTAGGAACCAAGGTGAACATCAATGAGTCTGAACAAACATATTGTGAATAGTTTCTAATAAAAAATTGGGTAGTTGCTTTTAGATGAACTAAAAAGATTTTATCAGATAAATGGGAGACTTACTCCTACAGTACTAAAAGTTAAATCAGAAGTATTTGTTAGGGCTTGTGGAGCTTTTGTTAAGCGGTAGCTCAGTAGTTAGAGCAATCGACTTATAATCATAATTCCCAGGTCTGAACTCTGAGCCACCTGCTTCGGTATGTGCGGCCAGGTAATATCATTAGTACTAACACTTAGTGTGGTCCATAGCCAAGCACCTGGTGAGTGAGTTGGTTCATAAAGAATGGCCTGGACATTACCATTTAGTAACAAGATTGACCATTTGCAGAAATACCAACAAAGAAAAAATGCAAACGCTTACAGATAAAATTCATACCCATCGCGCAAACTAGTGTTCATCTTAACTAAGTAGCTAGGCGGATAGCCAGTTGGTATTTGAAATGAAAGGTACTGGGCTACAATCTCAGTACGAAAATCAACACTGAAGTACAAGTGAGTTCAACTGACGAGTCCTGGATGAAACAAAACACCCCCCCTGGATTCCACTGCTAGCCACTACCCAAATCTACTGTAAATTGCGAATACTGCTATTGGACAATGTATGGATTATCTAAATATCCTCATAGTATGGTTAGACTTTGTACAGAATTTTTTATAGGATTTAACGAAAGAGAAATTCAACCAAAAGTCACAAGTTCTATGCATAAAGTCTAATCTTTTAGTAAGTGATCAGCGAATAATCTGTCGCTCCTGGATGGCTTTTGAGAGATAAATTGCAGTAATACACAAAATAAACAACTCTCTGACTAAGGCTGTGAAATTGATGCTTATTGTATAAAGACATATGCCGAAAAAACTGGAGTAATTTGTTAGGATTGCTTACCCAATAATGGTTGAGTGTTGAGCACATACATAAAAATGATGACGAAACAAACTGGCCATAAAATAAATTGTGTTTAGGGATTGGATAATATTTGTACTGTTTGCAATAACTGGTACAATCTAATAATCGAAATTGGACGTCGAGAGTATAGGATACGCATTAACAGTGACAACTAATGATCTACACACCCTAATAGGAGGTTAGTGCAATAAACAACCTGTACATAAAGTATGGATGTGAGTTCATGTTTATTTATTTAAGTATAAAGGCACGACTGTTTACTGTCAAATATTTATCTAGCATCATGATAAATACGAGCTCTCAAATTCGTTGAGAGATGTTAAAAGCATCAAGTAATAAGAAGTTATGATATGGTATAGATTTGAAGTGCTATACATTAGGATTGTACCGAAGCGAACTGAAAGTGTGTTTAGTCCCGAACAGGATGGGATATCCGTCCTATAGTATGGTGAAGTAATTTCAACTTTGAAAGCAACTGTGCAACATAACACTGAGAGACGGAATCAAAGCCTTTCTGAATTTCCACTCGCGGTATCCTGAAAATTGCAACTAATTATCGTCCTAATCAGGGGAACTTCATTTACAGAAATTAGGTCAATAAGAGATTCAGAAAAGCTACAGTCTAACCGACAAAAACAGTAGCCGAAGTCTTTAAGATATAACAAATTTCGATACAGTAGGAATGATTATCGGTACTACACATAAGGATAGAGAGTTTTACTACTTTGACCAGCGCTTCGATAACCAAACAAATAGGTTAGATACTTTAGTTTCAAAAAGGGATTGGTCTGGAACCGCTCTTGAGTCCGAATTTTTCGAATGACAAGTAATTCGATCACTAGGTGACATATATGCATTCCAATGATAAAATAACAAGCACAACATGTGAGTATAGATTTATCACAAGACTGCTGGTAAATAATAAAAACTTTACAACTGGGACAATACTTCTGACATTAAAACTTTCAAACTTTAAAATATCGTGACTGTACATCAGTAATTCTAATTGATTAAATCAGACAAGGAATATGTCTAAAATAAGAAACATTTAGGAAGATATTACTCAACACAAAAAGTTTTCTCAACAAGCTTGGCTCACTGCATCACTCGGCATTGGTCCTGAGAAGCCTCGTAACCGGTGAACATTGCCATTAATCTTAACTTTGAGACAATCCCCATTCTCCACCGAACTCCTGAAGAAATAATATTGATTGTTTTGTGTAGGAAATGGTTTCACATGGGTTGCATTTTTAAATGTTTTACACGAATTCCGTGCATACAACCCTAACATCGTTTGAAATTCACGCGTGTTCAAGGGTGCTAATATCCTAGTCTTTATTATAGCTGGTTCTGAAATCTCCACATCTGCTAATACAATGTAACTACAAAACAAAATAAGAAAAATGAAAATTACACTTGGTCAGACGCATTATAATATCAGCAATAATTAGAGACTCACGATCTCGAGGAAATAGAATGTTGATTTACTGGTATGTCTAAAAAGCACGGAGAAAAAGTGATCGACGGTCAACGTTCTCCAGAACAGTAACGTAAACAAAGTAACTGGATCGTATGTTCGGCTACTTATAGAAGTGAAATAAAAAAAACCACTTCTAGAAATCTTTATGACGATTGCACTGCACATCTACATACTTGAAGTAGATTATGTAACATAGTACGTGTACCCCACTATTAAAAACAGAGTGATGAGCTTGAAGCTATACTTTTTGAATTCGATTTACACACTTCTTTAATGTACTTGGACTTCATGCAGTAAGTATGATCAAATTAGTTTTTACAGATAGTGAAAAAAAAGAAAGTTATTTGATGCCACAGTTGAAAGGTCAGGTTATTTAATGAAAACCTGATAAATCTTCAGAACATATTAATTCATTATTTCTGTATGTATGATACTAAAATCAGTTATGAAAAAATGTGACAGTAAGACAAGTATGTTATAGTGAAAAGCCAAATATACAACCTCATCCAATGAGCCATGTACGTTAAGATAATGTACATTTCGCTCGGATACATTTTTAATTGATTGTTTTAGGCATACAATATTCAACTTTTGGGTCACAAATGGAAAACACACTTTGTCATGATAAATCTAATAGTCATGATTTCTTATGAATCATTTTAAGGTCTAAACAATAAATGATTTAAGTTCGTGGTCAACATGCTTCATTACAAGACTGTCGAATTTGAATCCGTTTTCATTTACTAGTAGATAAGTACAAGTTTATCTACTCGGTGTTGAGTGTACTCTTGGTGTAAGGTTTTATGATAACACTCAGCTGCTCAAACCCAGTGGTCGAAATATGGATGTGATAGTTGTCTATTAGAATTAATATCATACTTTTCAAAAGAGAAGCGGGATATTTTTGATTACGCACCGACATAAGCAGGGAAACCAATTATGATCAAAGAACAGTGTTTCATCTTCACTCGGTGGGACTTATTACTATTGCAAACAATTTGTAACCAAAACTGGATTGATCTTAAGTGGTGCTAAAAGTCTAATAGTGAACACGGTATAGTTAAGCCATTAAGTCGTAATACAATGGTCCGTATTATTGAATTTCGTCGATTCGCTGTTTATTTGATTGGATTTTATCGAATCGCATCACTTGTGGCGTAGGCGAAATATCTATCTTACAAACACAGGGCAAGTTTGTTGCACAGTAGTTCGCTCCGTCCTACTTTATGGGTATGAAAAATAGCCAATAAGAATAGACGATATTCGTAGGTTACTGGTATTCGATCATATGTCTTCGAAGCATTGTTCGTGTACTTCGGGACCACGGAGTAAACAATGTCTGGGTTAGAAATAGAGTACTAGGTGAAGATGGGAAACCGAATGATGAGGTAGTAAATCTTCGTCAATTGAGGTGGTTGGGACATGTGTTACATATGCCCGACTACTGCCTACCTCGACGAACAATGTTTTCCGGAGCGGGAGCAGGCTGGAGAAAATCTAGAGGCAACCAAATTAAAACATGGCATAAGTCCGTGGAGACATTGACTATTAGAATGAACCGCGTAGATAGGTACAGACCACCCGTTTAGGGTACGTGTGATCATCGTAACTAAATATTAAAAACTTTGAATCATATGGCTGAAAATCATTTGCAATGACGCAGGTGTATTTACTCTTTGTCATCATTTGGATCCCAAATTCTTAAATTCCTGATAACTTTTTTTTCATTTCGAGTTAAAATTCACTCACTGAGATTTTACAAATATATTTTGACTCCTTAATGTTTTACATTAACTCCGTACCCAATCACTGTGAAACTGTTCGTTCAAATTTAGACGAAAGTTCTGATATAGGAATTTTGGCAGTTATAAAAAATCAGGAAATTACGATATTAATATTAAACGTGCCAGTATTGAAAAATAAAATCAATAAAGACCCAACAACATTTGAATAATAAGAACTAATTGTACCTCTCATCAAAAATCTGTAGAATTCTATTAACAATGTTAGTGGGACAATCGAAATCCGAATGGGGGATTTTCTCTTGACTGGTCAAACGAGTAGCAGCCAAATCTACAGGCGTATGACCTGCAAAGTTACGAGGGTCGAGCTTTGTTAATGGATGACGTGCAAGCATGGAAACACATTCAATATGTCCATATTTACTAGCGAAATGTAGGGGAGTTTCAAAGTTCTGTAAAACATAAACATTATATTTTAACTGAGTTGGTACGTTTGGTTGGGCACTGTAAGAAATTTGAAATGTAGTTGTACAGAAGTGAACATAAAACTGAGGAAACCGTGAATGACCGTTTACGAATAAATAAAAACTTAACACAGATCAAGAAATTCAACTACCATATTACGTGAGTTTTATCCCGATTTATTCTGTGACTGTAAACTGAGGATTTACTCTGCAACAAAATTTGTTTTTAAACTGTTCCAACACTTTCAAGAATAGTAAAAACCAAAACGACTTGGTCGAACGCTTTATCCTTGACTTTATTTAAGAATAAATGTAAAGGCTATTAGTGTTTTAGGTCCAGTACACTAATTTGGGTGCAGTTCTTGAGCTACATGTATTGTGGCATTGGAATTAATGTGGTAAATGCAAATATACAACTAAAATATTTTCTATAAAACATTGCCGTTAGATTTCATTCTCTTATTTTTCTAGAAACGTTCTAGGTATTAAGATACGTTCTATACGGAAAAATATATTAAGAAAAACAATGAACAACTCGTTACTGATATGAGATAACTCAGACATTTGAAGTGGAAAATTTTTACAGAATATATATATATATATAATTCAGAGACAAGTCTTAGTGAATCTAATCGGATTTATGTGTTGGCCTTCTGAGGGGAGATTCAGGTCTTTCATGAACCTGATCTCGGAAAAACTTAGTACAATATGACAACTATGCGTTTTTGTGCGACATATAAATTACCAGATTTATTCCATCCCTCATGAATGCGTCTAATCCTAGTATTTTCAGCAACACATACAATACGCATACATGACAATTTCCGTATTTAAGATATTTTAAGTCCATCGTCAGTTTTGTTTTTACTTACCTCGAACTATTTTTAATCGCAGATATTTATACGTGACAACACAAAAACACTATGAAACCGAAAAATTATTGTCCACGATGTCTTGTGGTGAAAATTATTAAATATCGACAGTTAACTCACTCCAAGCTCAGGACTATTCAAATACAGGTCTAGAACATACTGTTGACGCCAATAAGACGCTTCTTTAGATGCACCTGGATACAGACGTTCCCAAAATTTATCAGAATCAATACAATTTAGAAGAAACTGAAGTAGGTTGACGTTGCCTTTCGAAGCAACCACATGTAATGCATTATATCGAAAGCGTATCTTCAGTTTGGCGTTCGTTGTAAAAATAATCGGAAAACATGTAAAACAACTATGTAAAAATATCGTTTCTCATGTAAGACCAACGAAAATTGAAATATAACAAAAAGATGGCGGGCATAAAGGAGGAGAATTAAGTATATAATGAAAGAATGGCCACATTAAAAAAATTAACCAATATGATTAATTTGATCCCTTATTACTCAAATCCTTAAACCACCAAGTTATCTTTGGTAACGATGTCAGCATTCCCTATACTTGACTTGAACATGAGCTTTTATTAGCGCTAAAAGTGAATGTAAACGGAAGTGATTTATAATTAGAACCTAATAGTTGAATATTGATACGAAATAACTATTTCGTGTTAATATTCAGAGCTTATGACAAACTTTCATCGGAACCGATAAATTCAAGTGTTCCTCAAGGTTGTCCCTCTCCCTTACTTTTATTTAACCTTGTTGCAGACATTTTTTAGAGATGACACTTTCACCGTCCGAATTATCAAGAATCGATCTTTTACCAAGTGATATACTTGTTGACTTAAAATACGCAGATGGTATGGTTCTGTTTGATGTTGGGAAATACAGTATTCTGAACACCTTATGGAACAGTGCAATGATGTTGGGAATGCATGTTACTTCAGGATCGGTTCGGGTCAACGCTTGAACTAATGATAGAGAGTAAATTAGTTGGATGTGCTGAGCAGTCCACTCATCTTGGAAGTCTCAGATGAAATCTCGGCAGGAATGCAGAAATACCAATTGGCTTTTGCCAGTTTACGTCACTTATGGTGTATATGCGATATCTGTTTGTCAACTAGAGGATGTGAAATTTTCTATTTTCAGTAAGCGCCTGGTGCGCGTTTAGATATGGAGAATGCGAAGTCACCAGCATGAACAACCCAACGTTAAAAAGCCTACCAATGATCGGCCTGATGATTTTTCGCCTTAGATGAACCGTAATTAGTTTGATATTGGCTTAATGTTTAATCTACCTTATGTTGACTGAGTTTTAAAAGTTTATATACACTACCCCGAGTAAGGTTTCACTGCCAAAAAACACCTTTTGACTTTTTAACACATGCGGTACTAACTTTATTGCCTACTGCTCACAGAAAATTCCTCTTGAGCTTCACTTACATGGGGTAGAAATATGTCATCCTTAGTTTTGCAAACTAGTACACAAGAGGTTTTATAATCCCCACGATTAGAAGATACCAAACTTCGTCTATTAGACTTTTGACCAAAATCGGTTTGAACTCCCAGTATTACTTTAGGCATTTTAATATCCTAGTACGTCTTGGGGAGCTATAAGTTGTGGTTTATGGTGAGTAGTCCATTAGAACAGCCAGATGACTTACAGGTTATGCGTAAGTATATATACATATATATACATGTAAGCAAAGTAAACAAAAGATCTACGCAACACGTCAACTTTCAAATGAAACTAGAGGATTGTAAATGTTCAAAAACTGAACTAACTTGCAATATTGTGGGTGTGTCACTAGTCGTTACTAAAATCATCGGGTTCTCGTCTACCATTTGTTTAACGACATCAACGTTCCCACTATCTAACATTGATCGAAAACGAATTAGGGTTTGTTGACTAGCACTGGGGTATGGACTGCTTTCAACATCAGCTTTGGGTGACTTAATTTTTGTATACAAAATATCCCAACTTACTGGAGGGTAGGGGTTGGAGAGGTTTTCTTCGTCAACTGGAGTATTCGCAAACTTGTTGGCATCCACATGGTTAGCAAATAACTTAAGCCTAGCACCCGTGATACCACGTAACTTTAAATAAGCCCTCTTAGGATCCACAAAAACTTCACCTTGACCTTTACTCAAAGGAGAAGCCACAGCATAAAAACAAGCTGAAAAAAACTTCGCTGATCAAATGAAACTATTACCCTCTGACTGGCAATCGAAGAATTCGTCATCTGAATCATAGCCTGGTTTACTATCCATACCAGACACATGACTAGGACTAACCTTGACATTGAAATTTCGGTAGTTCATTTTCAGTCCAACATTCAATATTTTCAGTCTTCAGTTATAAGGATAGTAGGTTGGTGAACCAGTATTAATCCTGACACATTTCTTTCCAGTGAAGTTTCAGCTTCTCCTTGAAAGTATTCACTGATGAGGCTGATACCACTTGTTCGGATAAGGCATTCCAATCATTGACTACTCGATGAGAAAAACGGGACCCCTACTTTAAGTTCATTAGATCGTGGTTTACTAACCTTCTTGCTATGACCTTGGAGATTATTAGTGCCGGAGGGAGTGAAAAAATAAGACATATCAACACACAAATCATAATTAAAGATACGAAATGTCAGTATAAGGTCACCTCGTGTCCTACGATAAGACAAGGGGAAAAAATTAGGCGTTTTAAACGCTCATCGTAAGGGAGTTTAGAAAGACCCTTCACTAATTTCGTTCCGACGCGCTGGACACGCTCAAGCGAGTTAGTATCCTTTACCAGACATGTGCTAGCTGTTTGGATACAGTACTCTAAATATGGTCTAACATATATTGGATATAAAATTCGAAACGTTTCCTCGTCGAAAGATTCGAACACTCAGCGAAGTGACCATAACGCACAAAAACCTTTGACAGCGGCTGCTTTGCAATGCGTAGTTGTTTTTAAATCATGACTTAATACTACTCCTAAGTCTTTATGCTCTTGAACGCATGGAAGAGGTTTGCCCTCAATAGTATAACGGTAACTATTACCGTGACCGATGTGCATTAGCACACTCTTCCTAGCATTGATTTCTAAGCCCCATTCTCGAGCCCATCTAACTAAATCGTCTAAGTCAGCTTGAAGATCCAGATGATCAGCCGCCATTTTTATTGTTTTTCAGATTTTTACATCATCCGCAAATAATAATGTCGACGACCTAAGTAACAGCGGTAACTCACTAACGTAGAGAAGGAAGAGCAAAGGGCCTAAAATGGTGCCTTGAGGTACACCACTTTTGACCGGCTTCCAATCGGATAGCGTTCCGTTGATCCTCACTCTCTGTCTGCGATCACATAGGAAGTTGCCTATCCACTCATGTACAGTAACTATTATTTCGAAGCTCGTGAGCTTCTGCATAAGACCTACGTGTGAAACCTTGTCAAATACTTTGCTAAAATCTATGAATATCACATCGACAGGCAGACCGTTATCTAGGGCTGCTCTCCAATCCTATCTCGCAATAAGCAAGTTAGTCCAGCATGATCGCTTGTTACGAAATCCATGTTGCTCAGGACCTAACAGGTTGTGTAAGTCTATGTGGCTTAGCAACCTAACCCGAATTATCTTTTCAAGTAACTTAACGACTGTGCTAGTTAGACTGACAGGCCGGTAGTTAGATACTAGCTGTCTCTGACCATCCTTAAATATAGGACTGACTATAGCGTCCTTCCAATCTCTAGGGAGTTGAGCGAGTGAAAGGGACATGTTGAAGAGTGTCGCGAGCAGTTTTGAAATAATGTCCGCAAGAGATGACAGCAACCGTGGATGTAACCCGCCAGGGCCCGGTGTCTTACCAGGTTTGAGGTTAGTTATCAACGGAAGGACAGTTTCCTCAGTCACCTGTACAGATTCCATGGTTGGTATCTCGGTGTGAGTGGGACAAGTATTTGTTACAATAAGCGTAGAGTAGACTTCGCTAAAATAGTTTGAAAAGTTTCAGCTTTTGCTCGATCTGATTCAGCTAGTAAATCTGAATTTTCGTGTAACAGTAACGGGGGAATACCATCACTACGTTTCATTCGCCGTTTAACATACGAAAACAATCGTTTTGGACAAGTACGACTATCACATACTAACTGTCGTTCGTAAGTGGTACGGGATTTGGCTATGGTTTTCCTACAGATATTACGGAATTTTGGGTACTCACGCTCAAATAGTGCATGATTTGTCAACAAGAATAAGTCCCAGAAATGTTTCCTACGCTTTAACAGCTTTCGGGTTTCCTTAATAATCCATGGAGGGCAATGTGATAGCTTACGTGCTGACCATGGGATAAACGGTGACGTTACGGACTCGAATGTATCCTTAAACTTATCCCATTCATCTTCGATCAGTCCATCCGCGTCGACTGATCAATCAGTCGAGATAGCACAGTTTCTGATTGCCGGAATATTGGCTAGCCAGTTATTGGGACGGGGTGGAGCAGATACGAATTGTATATCATGTGTCCTAAACCTAAAGTGAATTGCAATGTGATCGCTGTTCACTAGTGGGGGAAAGTGCTGAATATCAAATACATCCACACAGTGGTGGGTGAGGGTGAGGTTCAGCAGTGATACATTGTACAAGTGCACACCGAATAACGGTTGGTAAAAGGTCGCTATCGAAACTCCACCTGGAGTTTTAGGTTCTATCCAGTCGATATGCAGTGCGTTGAAGCCCCCTTCATGAGACAACATTCTGCCATACTTCAAGAACAGATGTGTCTTAAGATAAAGTCGTCAGCAAGACAAAACGGACCACGGTATATTCCCCCTATAGTCACTAACCCATTTCTAGATTTAATCTTACAACATGCTACCTCACATGTACCACTAACATGAGCCTCCGATATGATTGATTGTATGCGAAAGTGATCCGTAACGTATAACATTATCCCTCTCCCTTGCGACTTAAAACTCTATCACTTCTATTACAGATATAGCCTACAATGATGGGAGAACATTCTATATCTATTGTGAACCAAGGTTCTGTAACAACAATTATATCGGGACATAATTCTTCCACCATCAGATTTGGCTGGGACGTTTTATTTTTAAGACTACGAGCGTTCGTGTAGCACACACTTAAGGTGTTTTAGCAATCAATCGTCCTACCCATACAGGCTTCGGAAGCATTGGCTTCCAAGACCTGACTACCCGAAAACCCTTAATGGTAAGGTTATTTTCGCCATTTAATTTGCGAGTCCTCGACTCCGTAAGAGCGTTCTTCCACTTGATTCGATCCTCAAGCGACCAATCTGGTCAGGTACGGATATTTGAGTCACGAGTTTTTAGTGCGTTTTTCAATAATATGTCTCCTTCTTCAAAACTCCCGAGAACCAGCTTCAGGATTCTTCTTGGTTGGGTCTCGCCTCCAACCCATTTACCAAGTCGTATTACTTTTGTAGTATGTACCCCTGAAACCTCTTCAGGTAGTACATTTCTTACCACAGACTCCACTAACTGCAGGTCATGTGAATGTCTTCTAGCAGGGTCGTTGTCTTTCGACTCCTCTAGATTCCAAATAATTAAACTAGGGAGGGGTTTAGCTTCCTTTGAAATTGTGTTCACAGCTTTCGACCGTGACGTTAGATCCTGTATTTTAACTACTGGTATCTTACGATTAGTTTTTATTGTAACAGAGTCTTGGGAGTTGAGCGAGTGACTCACAACAGTGTTAGATGATGATTTACTTTGAGACTTTGGTGGATTGGTCTGAGAGTCCACCAAGGACTTATCAATTAAACAGTCATTAGTTTTAGCTGTCTTTCCTACTCTTCTGCGTTTTCGCGTCATCCCTTTTCCACCAGTGGAAACGTCTACATTAGAACAACTCGGGACAGTAATTGTCTTATCTGGATCACTAGCCGCGGCTGTAGCAATACGGCCACCAACGTCTAATGAGGTGTCACTCACTGATCAGTTCGGGAGAGAACGTTTAACTGCGGGTTGCACAGGTAGATGTCTGGCTTGCGCCATGACAGCACTTACTACACTAATGCAATCTTCGCCATCAGTACCCATGTTACCAGTACGGCCCTCATCAACCTTCTTATTAGCCAACATCAGGAGGCTAACTGCTTCCTGGATGAGTAATGTCTTGCTCGAGCAACAAAAACTACAAAATCAGTTAGAGTTGGGCTTTGAGCGCCTTTTATATGCAGTGGGGTTTAGTCGGGTGCACATCTTATGGAACCACCTATTACACTCATCACATTGCATCCCTTCCTCAACGGGAAATAAGCAATATGATTGTCCACATTTATGAGCAGATCCAGCCATCTTGAAAATCAACTACAACGGTGACAAAAACAGGATATGTAAAAGGATTCTCAAACCTTAACTAAATAAATCAAGTAGAAGTCCACCAAGTATGCTTCGATGCAATAAATACACAAAAATTAAAATCGAAACACTCAATACAATATCGCTTTAACTGGGGTAAATGCAATCAAAGTGTAAACTGTAGTTTTGATGCGTAATTTACGACCAAAATGTTGATTAACTCAACGAGAAACAACACCACTGTCCTTCTAAATATAAATCGCTTCTCGTTATTTCAGACGGTTCCACGTCTTTAGCGATATCGAGAAACTGGAAGCCGGGCCGTTCGTCTGTACTGAACCTAGGTATATTAACGATAAAAGAAGAAAAAAGAAATTGGTAAATCACAGTATAATACTATCCTTAGTCCTGAAGAGTATATCAAGTTTCCTCCTAAAGGACTCCTGAGAGGTCGCTTGGGCTAGCTCAGCCGGTCGCGAATCCCGGCTTTTGACTACTCCTAAGGAGTAAAAGTTGTGTTTACGATCCCTTCTGCTGTGTTATGTCTCCAGTTTCTAGGTGTTACCCCTTAGGTTTGTTTTGGAGCTAAACTTAAGTAGGCGTTTAACGGGGTGTCCAGGAGTGTTTAGGATGCTGGAAGCCGTTAGAAGGTCACCTCTAAGGTCCCTATACCCCAGTGGGTAAAGATTTAGTGCTCAGAGGTGCCCTTCATAAGGCTTGAATTTGAGTCTCCGAAATGATTTCGTGGCTCGCCGTTGGATACGCTTCAGAGTATCCTTACCCTTTGAAGCAGCAAACGAATTGTCAAATGTAATAGTGCTGCGAATCTACAACATTGATGCCGGCGTCATCCGTTTCACTGGACACATCCCATCTGAAAGTGCTCGATCACGCATCCATACCAGTCATGAGTAGGCAAGCCGTGCTATTCATCTCTTGCGACTACTGGCCAGCCTAGATAAAACACTACTTAACATATTGGTGACTCAACAAATGTATCTC